AAGTCCACAGAGGAGGGTCCAGATTGATCACTTTAATGGACTTTTTCCATCATTTCTGAGCCTCAGAACTTCATCAGTACAGCAGATAGACACATGACATGAAGGAGGAAGAACACATCTGGGTTCTGCTAGAACCTGACACCAGATCAGTTCTACTTCCATCCAGGTGTCCAGTCTGAACATCTTAATTATCTTATTTAACATCTTTATGATACGACTTGTATTAGAAGCTGTTTTGAACCCAAACTAAGGAGAAAAGTGACGCCTGCCTTCAGATGTGACGTCAGACGAAGCCGTTTTATTGTGAAACACACCTGGCTGTGGTTCTGCTGTGATCACCTGGACCAGACGGACCTCGGCTTCATGAACCTTCTGACTGCCGACATGAGGCAGAACGTCCACTTTGCTGCTGTAGCGCTGACAGCGTTTCTGCAGAGACCCGACGCGTACCTGCAGCATCCTGCCTCATCGGGAGCAGGAGGAGGAGGAGGAGGAGGAGGCTTGTTGCCACGGCAACCAGCCCGTCTTTTCATTCACACGGACCGTTGTGCTGCAGAGAAACAGAGAAGTGCTGATGTGATGGGAAATGATGAGAAGAGAGAAAAAAGAGGCAGAGCAGGTGGAGAGGAAGAGTCGGAGTGCAGCAGCAGGAAAGTGTTGGATGTTCTGAACACACTGGTTCTGTGGTTCTGATGAGAACGGACCAGCAGGAAGTGGAAAATAATGTCGGTGTAGAGCATCTCTGTTGTTTTTATTGACATGGACGCTTTAGTCCTGAAGGTCCTGAGTGTGCCCTAAAGTAATAACAAAACAACATCATGTGAACAAACTGAAGGATTACTGATGAACATTTAGTTCTTCTGATCAGGACTGATTTGGTGGAAATAAGTTGTTGCCAAAAGAAAAAATAAAATCAGTATTTAACATTTGTATGGTGTTTTTTAAAGGGATATTTTTTTATCTTGAAGGTCCGGAGTGAAAAAATCTGAAATGCACAAAAATGAAGGCATCAGGATCCACAGTGGTGTTCATCCCAGACTGTGATGTGGAAAAAGAGAAGTTTCCACTGAGCACTTAATAAAATAAAATAAAATAAAAAATAAAATAATAAAATAGAATAAAGTAATAAAATAATATAATAAAATGAAATGAAATAAAATAAAATAATAAAATATGATAAAAAAAAAAGTAAAATGAAATAATAAAATTATAAAATAAAATTATAAAATGAAATAATGCAATTAAATTAAATTAAATAATTCATTTTTTGTGGGGTTTTTTCAATAACAAAAAATAACATTGACATCATGTAAACAAACTGGTATTTAGGGGTTAAAATCTGAAATGAGTATTTAGTAACTGTGTTTGAGCCTGTTGTTGTTGTTGTTGTTGTTGTTGTTGTTGTTGAACATACGCCAGACTGTGATCATCAAAAAATAAATGTCCTTTAATTGTTATCATTTTAAGGAAATTAATTAATCCAGTCTTTTTTTCTTTTTCATAGTAAAACAACCGTATGTAAATAAACTGGCATTTAAAGAGTTTAAATCCTGAGAATGTAAAAATGTTTGTTAAGTCTGATCCTGATTGATGGAGGTTAAAGTAACGTATCATTAAAAATGGAGAATAAGATCAGAACGGAGCGTGTTCATGACGTTCTTCTTTGACGTGGAGCTTTTTGTCTTTGAGGATCTCAGAGTTCAGGAAGCTTCACGTCTCTGCTGAGGGATGAATCCACCTCCAGGACTAAACTCCATGTCCTTGTCTCCTCAGATGAGTCAGTCTCGCTGGTGGGAGCAGGAGATCCAGATGGAGGGAACCATCCAGAAGGGAGAGCTGCTGACCCACAACCTGACCGAGCTGGTCAAGCCCGAGTCCTACCTGGTCCGCCTCAAACCCATCACCCGCTACGGCGAGGGCGACGAGACCGAACGCATCATCACCTACAGCGGTGCGTTCACAGACAGGCTTCATGCTCAGACAACACACGGTCAGGTCTTCATGAAGTCATCTGACATTAAATCAACCTCATTTGTGGATTTAAAGGTGACATCATGGAACACAGCCAACAGTCGGCTCTGTTGATAATCAATAAGAGATAAATGCTTGAAATGATCAGATGTGGAGCTTTCAGGTGAACTGCAGGCAGCCGACATGAGACTATTTCAAAATGATTCAACTCAAACTTTCAAGTAAATGTTTGTTATTTTAGACTCATTTAAACCCGACTGGATCAATCAATAGATGCAGAATAGTTTAGAAACAGTGAACAGAGGAGCAGAGACATCTCCCACAGAGAGGATGGAGTTGTTTCACCCAAACATAAATTAAATCAAATGCTTGAAGAACATATTTAATACCTTTTTCTTTGCACAATATTAACAGACGATAAAACACAAACGAGGTAAAAACTAGTGAAGCACGATGTTAACATTTCTGGACGATACCGACATTAAGACTTCTGATATCGCCAATAACCGATATCACTGATGTCGATAGTCAATTTTTGTTCACACGGAAAAATGAGTGTCAGTAAGAACTGTGAGAAACTATTCAGAAGAAACCAGATTAGACCACATGGTCGTCTTAATTACAAAAGTAAAACACATTTGAACATATTTAACGTTAAAGGACCATTTAAGTAAAAACATCTGTGAAGCAGCAGCGACACCAGACGTAGAGACGAAGGCGCTGATGTTAGACAATCATCAGCTAAATGTGTTCATCGGACCGATACCGATATATCAGAAAAAACACTGATATCGGCCGATACCGATGTGGTCTCCGATACATCAAGCATCACTAGTAAAAACCCAGTTCAGTATTTTTTTCCACCTCGTGTGAAGCTGTTCTGACTCAGTCTGTCGCCTGGTGCTGCTCCATGTTGGAGGTTTTGATTCTAAAACAGTGAATGAACTGACGGCAGGCGTAATACCTCAGGATTTATGTGTCTGCTGTGAGATTTGGTTCTAAAAATAAGACTCGATCGTGGTTTGGTCGACGTGTTTGTCGTGTGGTTGTTTGAACGCCAGCTGCTGAAAAATAAAAAGACAAAAACAAAAGTGAGAGAGGAAAGCAAACTGTTGAGCTGTCAGACGGAGCGACGAGGAGAGAACAGAGCAGCAGTCAGACGCTCGCAGCGGGAGGCCGCCTGACACACTGTCAGCGAACGCATCGCTGTCATGGCAACGCTGCAGGTGAACACCTCCACCTGGTGGGTCACGTGACCCTCTGACACGCTGCTGCTGGCCAGTCCTCACAGAGATGTGAGACACAAGGACACACACACAGGCAACATCTGCAGGGTGTGTGTCTGAGTGTGTGTGTGTGTGTGTGTTTCTTTCTCAGTGTGTGTGTTTCTATGTCTGTGAGGACCAGCATCACGTCCAGACCTCGTGGTCCTCACTTTGGTACCAGCCCTCAGAGGTTCCATCAGCCAGCGTTTCTTCATCTTTTCTATATTTGACACTTTTTAGTCCAGAAAACGACGACGACAGCGTCTGAGCAGCAACTAAACTCCGAAAATGACAAGTTATGCTGCAGATTTGGATCAAAGACTAAAACGGTTCTGTTAGATTCTGTTGGTGAATAATTACAAAGATGTTTAGAACTTTAGAGCATTTGTGGAGAGAAAAGAACTTCTATGATTTATTTCTATCAGTGAATGTATCAGATGTGAATGGAACAATGTTTCATGTGAAAACCTGATATGATCCAAAACCAACAGTTTGTTTGTACTGTTGTAAACACATGAGTTTTATTGGTGAACAGAGTTTTTTTTAATGAAGAATCTGACAAGTAAACAAGATATTTATGTGTAAAAACTCATATTACACTTAATGTGATCTAAAAAGAGCAGAAGGTTTATATAATTAGAAACTGAATTACTGGTTTTTCATCAGTGTTCTGGTGTTTTTTTCTCTTCACATTGAAATTACAAAATAAAACCCAACTAATAACGACAGTTTTACAGCACTAAGTCTCATTATTTATAGTAAAAAGTGAATAAAAATAAAATCTGTCAGTTTTCTGTGAGATGATATATATAAATAAAACTGAACAAAATTCAGTGATATTTATTCTATATATATATAATTTATTTATTGGTAATTGGATTGTTTTTACAAACATTTAAACATTTAAAAAGCTCCCAAAAATCACATTATGTAATATTAAAACCAGAAAGTTTATTTAAATGATGTAAAATGACTTGTTTTCATTGAGATGTGTATTTTTGGTCCCTCGTCTGTATTTTAAAAAAAAATCTGAATATCTGAAAACTAAACGCTGCATGTCTTGTGTCAAGTTGTTTAAATGAGTCGATGGTATTGAGAAAAATGTGACCAATCAGTGGCTGCTCTGGTTATATTATATTATATTATATTATATTATATTATATTATATTATATTATATTAAAGTTGATTTAGTTAAAGTCCGTCCAGATGAAACCGTTCATGTTTTCTGTTCATGTCTTCTTCTGCTGAATGTTTGTGTACAGTTCTTCTTCTTCTTCTTTCTTCTTCTTCTTCTTCTTCTTCTTCTTCTTCTTCTTCTTCTTCGTGCTACAGCTGATCTGACTCGGTTGTGTTTTGTCCCTCCACAGCTCCTGTTAACCCACATCTCAGTGAGTATCCGTCCACACCGCAACACAATCTGCTCCGTCAGACACAACCGGCCTGAAACGACACATTTCCTCGTGAGGTTTTGTGGTTGAAGCTCGATGTTCACAGTCTGTGTCACACTAGCAGCTGTCTGTTCCACGTTCAGCGAAGTAACCAACCTCTGACTGCTGACCTGGAAACACAGATTCACGTCAGCGCAGAGACTCGGTCGCCTTACACTCTGTTGGTCACTTGTGCTGTTTGAGCCCTGACTGCGGTCTGGAAGGCAACACGAGCGTCACAATGAGGCTGCACGAGTCCTAGTCCCCGCTTAAAACATCACATTAACATATCCTGTATTGTCACACCACGACAGCAGATGAATGATTCAGACTGTAGCAGCTGAGGTCGGATTGTGACGTGTGTTACATGTGTGTTTGTGTGTGTGTCCAGGGGAGTTCCAGTGTGGTTTCGAGGACGAGGCGTTGTGTTTGTTCTCTCAGGACAAGAGCGACGAGTTCGACTGGACGCGTCACAGCGCCTCCACACGGGACACCAAGTACACACCCAACACCGGGCCGAGCTCGGACCACACCGGCTCCAAGCAGGGTACGCAAATAGACACACACACACACACACACACACACACACACACACACACAAAACACAAACACAGGTTTATGGCCAGAGACTCACCTGACCTACGAATCTAACAACAGGAGTCGCTTTGTTTCCTCAAAACAAAGCTCAGTTCTGACTCCAGGTCCAAACGTCTACAGTTTATGGTTCCAGTTCCAGATGTATTTATTCTCCTCAGTTCATCACGTTGTCCTTTTTAGGTTCTTGAGAGAAGTTTGAACTGGTCAAAACAAAGCTGTGGGAACTCAAACTGGACTTCTGCCTCCTCAGAATGTGATTACAGCCGTCTTAAAGTAGAGTTTTAAAGTTCTAGTAGATTTAGTAAAAACAAAACAACCACAAAGAGACACACAACGACGCAAAAGAGACACAAAACAACCACAAACTCTACAACATGAGCGATGCTAATAGACCTGGACCTGCAGGGTGGAAAGGCTCAAAAAGCAGAGACAAAATAAAAATGTCTTGTTTCTGCCACTGAAAATCAAAAACCGGACCTGATTTGGAACCGGCCCGTTGTGCAGCGCTGCTCTGCTCCCGGTGCTCCTGCAACACTTAAACATGTCAGCTCCCAGTGTCCAAACGATGACACTCCCGTGGGAATTTCATTTTTGGGAAGAAGAAGAAGTCACGAGGGATAACTCTGGAGAGCGACGACAATGATGCTGTGACGCCACAGTTCAGGTGGTTTGGATGCTCACAATGTCTTCAAAATGACAAAAAGTACCCCCAACATGTAGAAAATTGTGTAAAATTTGTCCAAAATATCTCAAATTCCGTTATGCAAACCTTATACATGTTGGTAACACAGACTATCCAAATATTTATTGTCCAGAAAGACTTAGGCACTGTCTGCAACGACACAAAACTGGTCCTGAGTGACAGAAACGTCCAAAATGTCCTAAAAATGGTTTAAAATGACTTTTTGCACTGTCAATTTCCAACAAGAGCTGCAGGTGTCTCAGTGGTTAGCACCGTTAGCACCTCACAGCTAGAAGGTCGCCGGTTGGCGTCCCGGTGAGGACACCCGGGATCTTTCTGCGTGGAGTCTCCATGTTCTCCCCGTGCAGCGTGGGTTCTCTCCGGGTTCTCCGGCTTCCTCCCACAGTCCAGAAACATGCTGAGGTTAATTGGTGATTGTAAATTGTCTGTAGGTGTGAATGTGAGTGTGCTTGGTTGTCTGTCTCTAAGTGTAGCCCTGTGCTAGACTGGTGACCTGTCCAGGTGAACCTGCCTTCACCCTGAGTCGGCTGGGATAGACTCCAGCCCCCCATGACCCTAGTGAGGATTAAGGTACAGAGATGATGGATGGATTTCCAACAATATCTTGTCCAAAATGTGTCTTGAATGATTAAAAACTGTCCAAAATGACCAAAAAGAGACAAAAAAAAACCCCAAAATGTACAAAATGGGTTAAAATTTGTCTAAAATTTCTCAAACTCAGTTCTGAAAAACTTTTACATATATGCAGCTTATCTTATTTTTATTGCCAAGAATTATCCAGAATGACTCCAAAGTTGTACAAAGCGTGTCCTGAATGACAAAAACGTCCAACTTGACTCGTAATTTTTCCAGAATTTCTCAAACCCAGTTTTGCAGACCTGCTATCTATTTACCACACTGAGGGAAAGAAGGAACTGTATGAATTTAACACAGTCAGTCTCCAACAATAACTCGTCCAACATGACGTACAATTTGACCAAAATGAGTTCAAATGAGTTTTCCAAACATCTAAAAGCAGTGATTTATTTCACACACGGAAGGACAGGAGAAACCAAGAAAAGAACGTGGACTCTGTGAAGTGTTTTATTTCCAGACCCGTTTTTCCTTCCTGGAGCGTCAGAGAAATGTTCTGACTGCTGGTCGTAAACAAACAGCAGCAGCAGGTTTGTCTCCGTCCGCCTGTTTATATGCACATTATTAATTTATGCGTAAAAAGCCTGACTGGATCATTTATTCACTGAGTCTGTTTCTTGTTTTGCTTTTATCACCTCGTCCAGGAGGAGAAACGGAGGCGTTCCAACTTTTCCTTTAATTTCCAGCATCTGCAGGTTTTCAAAGTGTGATTTGCATAAAACACATCAGATGAAAACTGACTGGGTGAAACGCTGGAGTTTAGTTTAATGTCCTTCAAAGCCACGAGGAGGAAGCCGCCGAACTCGGAGGTTTGTTTGTAGATGTGAGGAAGCAGTTTGTGTTTTCCTGCTGTCGCCTGCAGCTCCGACAGCAGCGGGCGAGTCGAGGATTAAAACTGACTGTTAATCACGTCGTTCGACAGGAATCGAAGCGTCGCTGATTCGAGAGAATAAAAGCGGCGGCGGCGGCAGCAGCAGCCCGAGGAGTCCTGCTGACTGAATGAGAGCAGCGTGATGGACACACTGCAGCGCTCTGCTTCGGATTAAACAGTTTGTTTCTGCTCTGCAGCGTTCAGGGAACATAAGTGTGGTAAAAATAAATAAATGAAGGAAAACAGGCAGAGAAAACCTGCATCCAGCCGAGGTTAGAGGAGGAAGCGTGGAAGACGTCCTGCCTTTTATCTGGCACGATTTATCACAGTCACTTCAAACAGAAGAAATGAAATGTTGAGGACTGAGAGAGAACTGATCTGACCTCCACGTTGTCACTCTTCAGGACAAATTATGTCACTTTTTCAGACGTCTGCAGTTTCTAATCCTCGCTGAAGATCTCTTTAGTTCCCCTCAGTTCAGCTAATCTGCGTTGTCTGTCTTAGATTCTTCAGTTAAGTTTGATCTGTTCAGAACGATGTTGTAGGAACTCAAACTGGACTTCTGCCTCCCCAAACTGCAATTACAGATAATTTTGAATGAGAGTTTCAGAGTTCTTATAAATGTCCACCACACAAAGCAGCTGCAAAGAGACTCAGAACAATCAAAACGAGACACAAACTGACTGAAACTCCCGTTGTACAAGCATCAATTCTGGTTAGAGGTAGGTCCTGAACCTCCTCAGAGTCTCTGTCATTAAATTAAATTAATTAATTAATTAATTAAACAGTGAGAGGCTCCACCTGGTGGAACAACCAGGTACTACATGATACGTTTACTGACATCATGGAGAGAACACAGGTTTAC